GGGCTTACAGCTTTGCTCCGTTTCCTTGCCGTAAATTTTGACTAAAACACAATAAAATATATACATTACAAACAATTCAAAACATTCGAAGAATTTCATGATCATATTAATGTACCTATATTAATTAAGGAAACTGTTACTTAATTATTAATTTACAGTATTAAAGGGACATATTTTAGAAACAGAAAAGCAGAAAAATCAATCGACTTAAAATCTCTTCCGATATCTCGAAAAAAATTGTTCTGTTGAACCATACTATTATTGATGTACTTTGAATAAATACTTTTTGATATAACCCCAATAAAAAGCTTCGTTACTAAATCAATCGTTCCTAAAAACAATAGCGTATAATAGTCTACCTTTGATGACAGTAAAAAAATAAACTACAATAATGTTAAATACACCGTTTCTTTGCTTAAAAGGGTGAAAGAAGTCACAGACCACCTGCTGTTCACTTCACCAGCTTATCGGACCCCGGACAACAACGTAAACGCCGCCTACTTGAAACAAGAGTTCTAAATCCCACTTCTATAGTATAAAGCATTTTATTATTATTTTTGTTTAGATTTAATTTTTTTATTAATTTTATATTATAGATTTCTTCCGATGAAGTTTTACTTTGTAAAAACAAATTCTAAATGGAGTGAATAATAATTATTAAATATTTAAAAATAATTTTAACTTGAATTATAATAATTTTATTAATACACTATTATTTACTATTCATTAGAGTACGTCATGAAGTCTAGAAGACGACTCTTCCAAAATGTCGTGGAAGTATTTCCATAAATTTATAATCGAAGTTTCTTTTTCTCTTTTTGTTTCAACTCATAATGGTTTTCTAGAATACATACTTATAATTTTTATGTGACCAAAACTAGATTATTACAATAACAACAGATCACAAAATAGTCTAAAATTCGAAGGTGATTCTTGTATGTATGTAGTTAAATCACTCCAATTTACTATAACGTTATCGTAATTCAATCATAAAAATGTAAAGTAGTAATTATTATTTAGAAATCTTCACTAAAACACACCTGGTCTCGTGTTTAACAAATCAGGGTCCAAGGAATCACTTTGTTTTCCCCATTAAACGCGATGTGTCGAATATAAATTAAGGAACTTTAATAAGTTACGCCTTTAAGGGTATGTATTTTTATCGAAAGCTTTTCAAGCTCATCCTACGATGATTTTAGTAATAGTGATTAACGTCTTAGGAACACTTAGTAGATTCCGCTTAATAATTATTATCTTAAAATTTCATATATTTCTATATTAATTAACATGTTACATACCTACGTGAATTAGTTATGTTACTTAAATGTAATTACTTTTTAATACGCAGTAGGCAATTCTCATTATTTTGCTAAAGATTATTCTCTTAAAATTAAATGAATATATTTGATAAAATCCAAACCAGAATCCAATAGTAGTTAAACTGGTGGCACTTAATTAACATCGGAATCCGAACCGAGTCTTCATTGAGGAACGTCTAGGCTGACATTTGAATGGCATTCGGTGATCTTTAGTGTTTCAAGCAAATTATACTAATTAATGCTTCATATTTAGTTAAGATTTGTACACTAAAGTCATAGATAGATTGTTGGTTACCGCGTCTCAAAAGCAATAAGAAGAAGGTCCTTGTCTCCGTTTGCGACGTAATTACGATTTTATTGTAGAAATATATTATTTATTTATTATTATTTTAAGTTAGAATACTAAACAACATAACCACTACTATTAACCAATAGCATTTACGATTCAATAATTGACTTATCTTAGATGGAATATTAATTAGAAAGACTCTCAAAGCTAATAGGCCATAATAAGATAATAAATGTTTTTAAAGTGGGCGATATCAATTTGACTTTGTTAAATTAAAAAACTACTTGCTGTTTTAAAAACTTTATATTTGAAACTGATCACCCACGAGTAGTGAGAGCATGCGCGTCGATTTTTTTTATATTAAATACATTTTGTGCTAATCAAAAAATGTATTATTCAAATCGCTACGTTTATATTCTCATATCAGAATTACCCCTGATTATTTATTACGTTTGGATTAATTTGAAAATGTCAAAAATACATGAATAGACGGTAAACCGAAATATAAAATCCTATTTTCATGTTTTGTTAAAACAAAAGTAAAATATCGGTTACAATAATTTCGATCCAAGAAAACATAATAATATGACTAGACGAAAAAAATCTTTAAAATTTATTTAAAATAAAAAAAAGAAATTTTATGTCGGATTTGTGAGACCGATAGGTAGCTTTTTAAAAGTATATGATCCCTTTAATGAATGTAACTTAATTTTGGACTTGTCAACTCAACAACTAAACACTTAGAAGTAATTAACAGGAGTTAATTTCGATAACATTCCACAATTAAGCCGTCTACTATAATACAATTCCAGGCACATAGTACTCATGAAAATTTATGCCCATTGAGATGGATGAACGGCTATTCAAGATATTCCGTCTGGTCATTCCGATAGAGCCTTAGACGCTCCGAACGTTCACTATTAGATTAAGACATTCTATTGATGTTTGCATAAGACAATAATGCGGTTTATAAGCAACTCTACAGATCAAACTGAATTTTGTATTTTCTACAACGTTAGGGTATATTTTCTGCCTCTCTGTCTCTCTCTCTCTCTCTCTCTCTCTCTATGTTTTGAAAATATAAAACAGAATAACTGAAATAAATCTAAAAAAGAGATCGATAAATCGTAATTTTTTTTATATAAACCAGCTAATAGAGTTCACAATATGTAATCATATTGAAGCTAAGCGAGTCTGTCGATCGAATTTATTGTATTATGGGCATTATTATTATAAATGAATGGGCATTATTATAACTGGGCATTATTATTACTGAACAATTTAAACGATATTCTTTTGCGTTCGTGTGTATGCTTTGTTCTTTGACTTACAAGACTGCCGCCTTAGTAATTTGAATCCTATCTGCTTGTGGACAAATATAGGATAAAGAGTACTTATTATTTCTAGATACATTTTTAAATGCAGTCCGAAAGCTTCTAAGGCTGCCCCTTATGAATTACTGTAAACGAAAGAAAGACACCTAGAGAACTTCATTATTTCCAGATGAATGATTCAATACGTTATTAATCATAATTTCAAAAACGTCTTTTAATCCAACCTTACTTATGTATCTTAAGTTTCATACCAAAGTTTACAAAATTCGGAATTTTAGATTGAAAAAATTGAACCGCAGTACACATCGATCGAGTAAATTTCCAGCTACATTATAAATGAATGTTTATTGATTACATGCCAGGAACAACGTCCGATGTTAACCTTGTACGTTTGCGATGGAAGTACTTTAATCACGCTAAAGTTTTATATTATTTTTTAGAATAATATGCTCATGGTAAATCAAAACTATGTCCCGAGCTGTTAAATTGTGCTTATACATAATTAATGCTTAGTGAGTCGGTGAGTCAGTGAGTTTTCGGTAGGCAGCAGCTTGGCTCTGCCCCTGGCATTGCTTAAGTCCATGGGCGACGGTCACCACTCACCATCAGGTGGGCCGTATGTTCCTCTGCCTACAAGGGCATAAAAAAACAGAATTGTCTATTTGCTCGGGACTTATGAAGTCATTTTATCTATCTGCGTTTTCGACGTTATATTATCCAAACCGATATTTGCTTTTCATCAATAATTAATGAAATTAAATTAAAATGGAAAGCTAGTTTCGTCTACATTGTAAACAATACATATAGTTTACTGAAAATAATATTTTGATCGTCACTTAAAACATTCGTACTCTAATTAGATAGTTATAATGTATAAGTGATTATTAGGAAAATGACAATAGGAACAGGAAACAAGCATACAAAATGTTGCTGTTCGAAGTCTTTGTATTGTATACCTTCTAATCAAAACACATCGCTGTTTAACGGATACCAAAAATTTTACGATTTTTACTAAATAACAATTAAGTAGTCAATTTTATATTTCATAAACAGTTTACTGAAAATCAAACCTATAGACCCATAATTACGACAGAAATCGTGTTGCTGATTTTAACGTGATTGACCGCAAAATACGGGTTGGCAAATAGTGCAGATAGTTTGAGCTGTACTGTAATAACATACCTTCAGGTATGCCAGATGTTTCACGATGATGAATCGCCTCAAGTTGTGTGATTTCAATTAACGTGCATTCTAAAGGTTCGTACAGACATAGTTAATTATGAATCTCATCAGATCACGACCGTGCGACAGAACCTTACAACCGACAGAACCGTACTGATACAATACTAATTAAGTATTAATATTTGTAATTGAATAGTTCCATAAGATTAATGAGAAACATGGTGCGAGGGAATCGTTTCCAAAGGTGAAACGGTAACAATATGCTATTTTTGGGCCTGATCTTTGCCATGCATTAGGATCGGATAAGTGAGCTTATAAAAGTCTTCAATCAACCCCGTGACTCTTCCAAAGAAGTCTTTGTCAATGTCAGAACGCAAGAAAACCTTACTGCCGCATAAAAAAGGAAGCAGCCAGCACGCTGTCATGCTTATAGACTCCAATAAAAAGTTAACATTAAGTCAGCTGTGAGCTCTCTCGTCTCGTCTAGTCTACCTACCTTGCGCAGTAAAAAAAGAGGTCATACTCGTTCTTGGAGAAATCTCAATTTAAATAAGGCTTAAAACTGACACCCGTTGCATTATACGGAACGAGATATTGACTTTGTGTTGTTTTGTAATCTCTGACAACTGCTTACCATTAATAGGCGATGATCTTGCAAGATAATTAAAAACAAGTGTTTGTAAGTCACATGTGGTAGAAGTGAAATCTTCGGAAATATGCTATCTCATTCTCGCGCAAGCTATCTTATATTGATGTGTTAGTTTGTCTATTTTATCTTGTTCTTTTTATAGAGCTTCCAATCACAGCACTAAGTAAGTTTTCACTTCACAAATTAAGTTAGAACGTAAGAGTGTAATGTAAATAATTTGCACTCACTAAGAGCTATGTTAGCTTGTTTGTTTCTGTCGAGCTGTCCGCGCAATGCTCGTAGACGTCGTAGCTTCTGCTCTTGAGCTTCTACGCGTTCTCGTAGCCGCCGTAGGCGCTCACCCTCCAAGGCCACCTGTTGTGGGAATATTAAGTTTAGTAAATTTTCTTTTTTTAGATATCGATTCCACGTCTCCAGTTGGGTCACGGCTAATAACTTGAGATGTCGACCGGCTACAGAACCACCTTTTTTTTATACAGTAGAAAATCGCCGGATCCCCACCCACCCGCGCAGCGAGTGGGTTATGTGGGAGTAGAACCTCACTAAAAACTCCTGTCGCTCACAGCCGGCACCCGACCCCGGACCAGGCCAGGAGCCCAGTCGGGGCCACTGAGACGGGGGGACGGGGTTGACACAGAACATGTTACATCCATCCCGCCGTCTCCCAGAGCCGGACCGGCGGCCGCCGGCGACACGACCACCGGTTCCCTCTGTCGATGGGCCGAGAGCCCGCCTTGATGGTGCCGCGCCTCCCCTTCCCCCGGAGCGGTCGGGGGAGCGCGGTCTACCATCACTACAGAACCATTTACATGTAGTTTAAGGTCATCTCCAACAAAATTAAACAAAACCTCTTTTCTTCTTTACGCTTGTCTTTTCAACTACATAATTTGTAACCTAATATCGTAACAACGATAGTACGGATACAAATACAACGATTAATGGTAATTGAAATGAGATCTCTAAATCGAGATTTTTTAATCGTATCACATATGCAGTCTTATGTCATGCTTCAATGATTAATATCAAAAGTAGACAAGTATATCGCCAATATTATTGTGTGCTATCCAATTTAATTCCACCTTGCATCTACAAGCAAGGAATACATCGCCCAAAATTTACTTTAAGTAAAGCTATGAAAAATCGTTAACTTTTCCATTTTTCTTTCTACTTCATGTAATAGCTTATAAAGGGTTTTTACCTGATTCTGTTGACAAAACTCATGATCACGTGTTGATTATAAAAACTTAACAGACCTCGTACAGTCAGAACAACATCCTTAAAACAAACTTCACGGCACTCAGGATTTGTAATTTTATTTATTTTTATAGGCCTATTCACTGCGTGAGAAGAGTTTATTTCTATTTTCGCCGCAATAAATATCGCATTAAGCTAACGCCACGGCCGAACTCGGAAGATTTATTAAACAAGCACAATTTAATTTTAGCTGTGTTTGGCGGATTTTGTTTCTTTAAAAAAAAAAAATGTGTGCGTGTACTAGTGTACACACGTAAGAAGTGAAACTTATTTATGGCCTTATTTTTCGAAAAATGATCTACATGCAACTTTCTAGAAATTGGTTAAATAAAGTTAAATTAGATAAAGTTTAAACAAAAGGATTTTATTATCATAGACATGAATACAAAAAAGTTAAATTAGATAAAGTTTAAACAAAAGGATTTTATTATCATAGACATGAATACAAAACAGATGGCGCGTAACGGAAAAATGTGACGCGTAACCGAAAAATGTGACGGTAAATTTTTTTCCAACGCCGATAAGGAAGTTTCACTTCAAAAAGTAAAACTCGAATTATGAGTGAAAATATTTTTGATAATTTAATTTTTAGCATAATGGTTATTAAATACAGTAAAATATAATGCTATTATCCCCAATATCGGATTCCCCACGTAATCTGAAACAGCAACTTCCTATTTAGGTTAAATTATCAATAAAGATCCGCCTTACTTTCAAAAGATAATCTCATTTAAATTGACTTTTTGCGTCTCCCTACTTTTATTTCTTCTTAACGCATTTATTTACGTAAGCCGTATCCAAAATGAATACTCAGTACTACAGCCGCTTATCTCTCGATATGAAAATTTATACGCAATTTCGACTTTAATAAATAAATTTAATAATGTCGACTCATTCTGAAAACACAAAGTAAATAAGCATTTGGTTTTGATTGGAAATCAATCAGAGAAAAGTCATTAAGTAAAAGCTGTACTTAAATTAAGAAATAATACAGAGCTTTAACAAAAGTAATTTACACACAGTTAACAATAAAGCCCTCGGTTTTGTACGATGATATTTCATTTCATTTAGTCTCGTCGGCTTTAATTCATTAAAACATTTCTTTTGTGTTTCCCAAGGGTTGTTTAGCCGAAACCCCTTTAAAAATTTACACCTTTCCCTTTACTCATGTATCGGCCTTTGTCGTTATATAAAAAAAAAAAACTTTAAATAAAATGAAACTGTAAATGTATTTAACATTCGATTTAAAAAGATAACACCGGTTAATGATATGGTTCCTTTGAACGTTAATACCCAACGTTTTTATTTAATTATTTGATATCGAAGAGACCTAAAAAGTAATTTCAACGGTGAAAAAAAAATTGAAAAAAAAAAACCGTGATAAAAATTCTCGGTAAAATAAATTGAGTGTCGTAAATTTTCTATTATAGTATCGAAGGTAGAATGTACTATGAATTTAATTAAACAAAACGAAGGATCCGGAATGAAACTTCAAAGTATTCAAAATGAAGTATCCAATAGGAATTTTTCAGTTGCCTTCGGAATCTTTATTAGTCTGTTATAGAAAATTTTCCTTCATATTTCGTATAAATTTAAAGTGAGGGTCCTTTTTACTGAAATTATAAAATACTAGCGACCCGCCCTCGCTTCGCTTCGGAAACATTAAAACACACATGAAACCAAAAAAATAAAATAATTTTTTTTTAAAAAAAGTAGCCTATGTTCATCAGGGACAATGTCGGCTTCTAATGGAAAAAGAATTTTTCAAATCGGTCCAGTAGTTTCGGAGCCTATTCGAAACAAACAAACAAACAAATCTTTCCTCTTTATAATATTAGTATAGAAAATTAATGTTTAGTTTAAGTTATTCGTTACGAGACTGGAGAAAGATTATGATTTCAATTACAAATCTGACATCGTAAATATAATATTCGTGAGTGACAGTTTCTGGGCACTCCGACATCTTTGACTGATCAACTTCTAAGAAAGTCCAATTGTCATTTAGCGGAAAATTTATTATTATGATAAAACATCTTTATGAAATTCGAGTCGGTAATAAGTACTGTTGTTATCAATTAGTTGACGACATACTATCAACTTTGTTGCTGGGGAACTATCTTTGACATATTAAGTAATTACCGATTTAAGGACTCTTAAAGCAAGCAACGACATTCATGTAGTGGTGGGCCGTGAAATCGTCTTTTCATCTACGGTAGTACAAATATACTACTGTATAAGTCTATACTAATATTATAAAGCTGAAGAGTTTCTTTGTTTGAACGCGCTAATCTCAGGAACTACTGGTCCGATTTGAAAATTTTTTTCAGTGTTAGATAACCCATTTATTGACGAAGGCTATAGGCTATATAACATCACGGTAAGACCAATACAAGTGGAGTAACGTAAAGAATGTTTTAAAATAGGGGTTTAAATAGCTCCTTAACATTCTATAATTCAAAAATATTGTCTCTTTCTACGTAAATTAAGTGGGGGGTAAAATTTAGCGTTATGCCAAAGTAACTATTTCACGCGGACGGAGTCGCGGGCAAAAGCTAGTATACTGAATATAATATACTACTAGTTCCATAAGATCCTGGAAACTTATTGTACGTACCATCTACGTACGAACCACTTTATGATAAGCCCTTACCATCGTGCATGCTTGTCGTCAATACCAGAGCCCAAGCCGTTGCCTACCACCACATCTCACCTCTAGAGCGACCGATATATTAAAATGAAATAACGTCATTCTTAAATTTAGACTCAACTCTGATATTCTTTGAGCCTTATTTCGCGTTTTATATTTGCAGTAAGAACATGTGCAAGCGTATGCAAGTATTAAATATGAGTCAGGTTTATTACAAAATTAATATGGTGAAAAAAACAATTTTCGTGACACAAAACATTATTTTGAGTTAAGAGTAAGTGAAAAGCGTATTGAGTTATAACAGAATCTCAGTATCGTATTACACATTCGGAAAAAGAATTAATTTTATCCTTTTACGTTTTATATCCAGTTGAGGTTCGATAATTGCGAAACGGAATGGATTTATTTGCAAACTCGATCTGCACACTGCGCCCAGCTGTTTCTTGTTTACTAAGAGCTAAGCAAACAGACCAATGGATGTGTTTTACTGGAGTTTCGATTCAGCTGCTAAGCTTTGATTTCAGTTTTATTTGCTACGTACATAGGATTACGTCATAAAACAATAAAGCCCTAAAACTTTTAATAGAAACAAATTATTTATTGATTTATTTGAATCTATTTTATTTCTGACACATATAAATATTACACACATAAACATTATCAGTTGATATTTTTTACATAGGTATTATCTGTTAAAAATGGGGCGACATCGTCATAGATCGATGAAGTCACTAAAATAAAGATAAAAAAGAATTGTTAGTTACATAAAAAATTGTACGGAGGCGTTACTTATTTTTTTAGGATATCTTTGCCAGCAGACCCCCCAGAAGAGTATCGAAATAATAAATAAAAGTGAATATATAACAGTTTTTATAAAGAGCGACATACCTATTAATCATGTTAATCAAACTACAGTCATATTTTTATGTTAAAATATCAGAATATGCCAATAAAATGCCATAAATGCGCATCAAAGCCCAATGTTATAGTACAGTAAATACAAATGTACAAAAATACTTAAGTACTATTATAAATAAATGAAAACAGATATTTGGCGATTGATGTTAAATAACATTAAGTGGTTTTATCGCAGGTAATTGTAATATCTATAATATATAAAAGAAAGTCGTGTTAGTTACACCATTTATAACTCAAGAACGGCTGAACTGATTTGGGTGAAAATTGGTGAGAAGGTAGCTTAGAGCCAGGAGAAGGACATAGGATACTTTTTATCACATTCCCGTGGGACGTGACATAAAACGTGGTATAACAAAACGCAACTGATATGGAATAACAAAACGCAACTGACAGTTAAACGTTCTATGGTTAAATTTTGAAGTTGACCAGTTGATGTGTTTGCAACAAATTAACCGTGTGGCGGAACAAAGCTCGCCGGGTCCGCTAGTATGTAATAAATACATCCTTAAGATCAGAAAGTTACAAAAAAATTTTTTTCTGTTTTTTGTTATAAGTCAGTCCAAACAGAATTATGAATTGCGGCCTCGCTGCAATATTATGAACTGTTAAAATACGCCATAAAATGAGTATGAAAACGTAATAAAGCCAACGTCAATTTCAATGGTTTGATTTAAAAAACATAAATTCTAACAACAAAATTAAGGAAACACAAAGTTGATTAAAAGCAAAGAATGAAAGCGAAATGTGTTTTTTACGATCTTAATCTAAAACCTTCTTTGATCCACAAAATAATTCAACGTCAAAGCATTGTCAAAGGCAATCACTGGACTGATATTAATATCCTTTTTGCGAAATAGAAACTCAGAACCTTAAGGAGCAAAGTGACGGAAAACTTTCGAATAAGAATTTGCAATGACTTGCGATCTCCTTTATTTCAATCATTTACGGAATGCGTTTGTTATTTCCCTTACGAAATTATATTATATTTATGCAATTACTTCAATCTTGGTGATTTTTAATTAAATTATGCATAACACGTTAACTAAACGCTAAATAAGTTCAATAGCGAAAGATCATGAGCAAACCAAAGCTTAGAATGCGAACTTAACTTTCAATGATTGAATTTTGAATGATTAACTTCCAATGAGTGATGAAAGCCATACACCTTAAACGGTTTGGACGGAATTATATGAGCTATCATTATCTCTGATAGGTAAGGTATAGTTAATTAAATCGGTCAATAACTAATCCATAGGACTGATGATATGTATTCTATTATTCCGCAAACACCAAAAAAACCAAGACAGTAAATCCTTCTTTCAATTTGGGTGAGATCTGAACCCGTTTAGGGATACACAAAATATTCGTTGAATTTTTATTATTTCGATACCATTGGGATCAAAACGATTTTATAGTTTTTTTGTAGTTCAAATGACTTCGTTTATGCAGAACTGAGTATTTCAAAATATACTTTGAATTTCAAATGGATAAATACGTCTGAGCGAAATTAACTGTTAAAAAAAATTAAGTAATCCAATTTAGAAAAGTTGTAGATAGTACATATTAACTTAGGTACTAATTAAATTATTAAAGTAACCAAAAGGGGTGAACTCGCACAGTCTATAGGTAAGTTGAATGATTTATATCTACTGTGATCCTGGGTGAAGCAATTACTATTAATGATTATTATTGTTCATTTTAAATCAGATGATATTAATGATAATAGCCTGCCTGTTATTAGCGAAGACTTATTATATACCTAGCGACTGTGTGATTGTTGAAAGTGAGATTAGAAATTTTGATACACACAGCATTAATAGAATTAGTGGTTTCTCGACGTTTGATAATGTAGTCATGTTTCTTCTAATTCTAATTACACAATTTGTTGATATTTACTTAAAATATTAAGTAAAATATTCTGTGTTGCGATGTAATCAGATAGTTACAGTGTAAGAGCATGTCTTCAGTTGCGAAGCTTTAAATGATGACTCTTTAAGCCGCCTGTAAAGGAGTCTTTGAACAAAAAATATTTTGTCTTAATTCATAATGCAGATATGTGCATGCAACCCGGGGTATTCTTATTCCTTCAAAATTTATAACACTCTATATTTAATTTAACATAATTAGTTCTATTTTACTGGGGGAAACAAGGGAACTACCTGAAAGAAGCTTTATTATTCTCTTTTATNAAATGATGACTCTTTAAGCCGCCTGTAAAGGAGTCTTTGAACAAAAAATATTTTGTCTTAATTCATAATGCAGATATGTGCATGCAACCCGGGGTATTCTTATTCCTTCAAAATTTATAACACTCTATATTTAATTTAACATAATTAGTTCTATTTTACTGGGGGAAACAAGGGAACTACCTGAAAGAAGCTTTATTATTCTCTTTTATTAAATATATGAAATCCCTGGAGGGGTTACTCAATGTCAACGTTCGTTCATAAGTAAGACAAGAAATAATTAATTCAGGGCTTTAATTTTAAATAGCGTTATCTCTGTGCCCAAATTATTCATGGTAAATATTTATGATTCATTTTTTAAGTCATCTCTTAGTTGTATTTGGACGTTGTTTTTTTTTAGTTTTTAGGGATGAAACAATTTTAATTTTGTTTTTGTAAATAACTCGTAAAGCTACCTTGCATTTCGGACCATGAAAATAGAGAAGGGTGCTTAGTTAGGATTCAAGTGCCACATAAGTACGTAGGTTAACGATTCAACGCGTTTCTATTTCCTGACCCCACATATTATTACTAAGAACTACTAAAATGGCATAAAAGTCAAGAAAAATCGACTTAAATTCTTTTTTTTAATACGCTTTTATTAGCTTCATGTTAGTATGTAACGGAATTTTTGAACATTATTTTGACCCCCTTCAAAATGTCGGATTTACTCGAAATTTGGTATACTTATTTAGGAACAATGACGATTCAATGTAAAAAAAATTAAAAAAAATTGAAATTCAACCAAAAAATTATAAATAAATAATAGTTTAAAAAAACTAACGAAATACGCTTTTATAGAAAATCCAACTAAAAAATAGAAAATAAATTTTAATAATTTTGGAATTAAAAATAGTGTAAAAAAAATTATTTTATTATAAAAAAAAGCGTGGGCTGCATGGTATCAGTAGTTAAAAATATTTTATGAACATATATGAGTAGAAGGGTTATTTTGATAATATCCTGAAAAGCATTAAAATTTATTTTCTATTTTTTAGTTGAACTTTCTATAAAAGCGTATTCTGTTAGTATTTTTTTTAATTATTATATTTTTTTACTTACTTAAATTCACCAATAGTCAAATATAAACAGTGCTATTATATAATACATGGCGAGACTGAAAAAAAAAAGAAACTGAAAAGTATCAAGAGTATTGTACCTGATGTTGCCTAGCTTCTTGCTGCTTGAGGTACCGCAGCCGCTGCTCCTTAGCGCAGAGCAGCTGGTGCTGGGTGTCGATCTGCTGTTGTTGGCGCAGCGCCATAGCACGCAGCTCGCCCAACGTCAACTCCACCCCTTCTCCCAACTACGAAGAAAAAAGAGCGAATTTAAAAAAAAAAGACAAGATAAAATGATTTTTTTTATACGAATGTTAATATAAGCTGGTGGTGGTTACTGGTGGTAGGACCTCTTGTGAGACCGCGCGGGTGAGTACCACCACCCTTCCTATTTCTGCCGTGAAGCAGTAATGCGTTTCGGTTTGAAAGGTGGGGCAGCCGTTGTAACTATACTGAGACCTTAGAACTTACATCTCAAGGTGGGTGGTGCGTTTACGTTGTAGATGCCTATGGGCTCCAGTAACCACTTAAAACCAGGTGGACTGTGAGCTCGTCCACCCACCCAAGCAATAAAAAAAAAAGTTAAGGAACATGTAGAAGTAAATAAATTGTACAACGAATTAATATGATACAGTTAGTACAAAATTTGCAAAAAAATTACTACCTATAACTTTATTAAGAAACAGATTAAATAACAAGAGAGAGAAAAAGAAGCGACAAATAAATAATTAAAATAAGAGACAAAATGAAATATTTGTCGACGTGGAATCACTTGTAAATGAATTGTTCAATTGAAAAAGTAAATAAAAATCGTCGTTAGTTTCTCAACTCAATTTAAAAAGAACGAAAACTTTAATCTTCGTTGTCATAAAGGCAACTCGTAAAAGGGAAAAACTTTAAACCAGCCTTCCTTCGATATACACTCAATTGAAACTTTTCCTTTGCTTCGGGGCCTCCGAGATATACAACTTCGAACAAATAGCGACTGGAAACGTCATAGTATTACGATTAATTGCGTCTTGAGCTTTTTGTCGAGTTCTGTTTATATCACTTTATTACTTTATTGAGTTAGTTAATTATGATTTATGGTAGAAAAAAAATAGCATTCAAGATTGATTTTTCTCTAACACGCTGACACCACTAATAATGTATTTAATAACAGTTTATATTATTATTCAGTAATTACAAAGAATTCTTCTGATATTTGAAACAATTCTGCATATGCAAATGCCTTATTGTATCAGTTGTTTGTCGTAATATCAACCTATTTAGAATCATTACACCTCCTACAATCAGTACTTATTTGGAACAGCAGTCAAAGACGTTACAAGATACTCGTATTTTTGACTGGATCATGAAAAAGTTGTAGTACTTGAGCATACAAGTATTTAAGTGTCCTTTTCGTTTGTCTTCAAATTAAAAGTAATGAACAAAACAATTTTGCTGTAGAATCACAACCACAATACAAAAAGGTCAGGTGGTTTGGCTTTGGATCCACAAAAGGTAAGACAAATATGAACATAACGGGACTAAGTTGTTAAATTGAATTTTTCACTATGTCGCTCGTAATAAATAAGTGTAAACATTCTTAAATAAAACATTCATAATACACATTATATGTTTTATTCATTGCGTTGTGTTGTAGTAAAATATATTGGATCTAGTATCAAGACTATTCACTATAACAGAGGTCATATTATGTCCCAACTGTTCGAGACTTAACGGATGTGGTTAGAGAATATGAATGTCTTTTAGAGATAGCTGTAGGTCAGTAGAGGAAGTGCCACAGCTTTTATCCACCCACTGGGCTGCCCCTAATGCCACATTACTGGGCTGCGATTGTTTGAAATTGTCTCCATAATTCAGATGGAACGACATTCTCTACGAGTTAAACTTGGCATTATGTATTGTTGTGCGTTGGGTAACATTATTCATTATTTTTATGATTCATTGTCTACAGTAAAATGCCGGTAATTCCTCTATTCTTTTTGAGCATGCAAATTATCTTGTTACATTTTACTTGTAATTGTTTTGGTCTCACCACAATGGCGTATCGTTATTACCAAAAAATATGCTTAGCGACGGATGGCCATTGAAAATTGAGATGGAAAATATTGAAATGATTTAGTTGGGCCAACAAAGGCGTCCGAAACGTTTGCTTACAAACGATATGTCTTATTTCATTCACGTTTCTCGTATAAAATTCTCAGATTGAGGCCCTTTCACCGTATCGGGCGTATTAAGGGCCGTCTGCGGTCAGGATTTATGTGTATCTTGACACTTGTTGATAGCCGAGCCTGTCTGCGCTGTGATGTATTGACGGAGAGATAAATCGTGTGGCCGCCTCATAAAAACGTAACGTAATGACGCGTGACGTTTTGTAATTTTCTTGGCATTGTATTATTGTGGTGTGAGAATGGGAGAAAAATCGTACTCTTCAGTATAGGAAAAGTATTACAACTACGAGAACTGCTCGCGTTTCTTGTACAGCAGTAAAAAGTATCCGATAAATTAAAAAAAAAATTGAGTATTTACTCAATGAGAATGAGTCATTTACTTCATTCTGTTCTGCCTCAACAGGAAAATACAGACACGGTTTTCTTGAGATACATTATCAGCCTATAATTAGAAAGCACCAATTCTCGAAGTTCACGTAACAATTATAAATTATTATTCTGTTTTGTTTGTGTATGATCAACAATGAAATACAAAGTGATAAATTTATTGATTGATGAATTAATAATATATAATATTTTTAAGTTTTTACTACTGTAACATGAAGGATCACGATGACATTTTTCTTTACAATACGGCTAATTCTATCCTCTGAATGATAATATAATTTTAATCACGATTAAAAATTCCAGTAAAATTCAATCCGAACAAAAAATAGAGCTGTAACTGCAAAACTGCAATCGCCCGTCTATTTGTAACTCCGCAAATTGGCCAATTTTCCGATTTGCCCCTTTAAAACTTTTCCAATGCGAGCGGAAGATACTTTCAATTGAAACTCTGATTGGTACAAATGTTTGTCTTTTGTGAAAGGGTCGTTCAATGTCAACAACGTTGTCGAAATTTGCAAAACGTTTCATGTCTTGAGCTGTTGCTCGTGAAAATTAATCAGACAATATTTTTGATACAACAAATTTCGTTTATTTCCGTATCTATGTGTTTTTGTGTTTCAACTTTAGCAGATAAACGCATTACAAACATATGTAAGTACTGGGTGTACTTTTGTAAAGGTGGATCAACCCTTTCAAAACAACAAGCTCTAAAACTACAGAATTTTTAAACTTGGCATTACGACAGCTTTTCTATGGAATTAAATTTTGGATTTATTTATGCCCAATAACGACTACGTAAGCAACAGTCTTCGTAAAAATAATGAACAAAATTAAATTTAAAATTAAAAAAATTACGTTTCAATCTTCGAAACTAATCGGATGTGAAAAGCGTTGTCATGAAAAGCGTATCGTAAATTATTGTTTTTTTTTCATAGATTTTACATAGGTTACAGTTAAATTAATAACTACACTATTTCTCGAGCCTCCAAACTACATGAACGAAGGATACATATTATTGTTATGAATTTTATTTTAGTTTATTGTCACATGTTATTATTTATTGCCTCAGATCATAAATTTCATACATGAAGAAGTCTTTTCCTTCGAAGAAAAAAGTATCGTCTTATTTATATGGACTAAAAACTAAATGAAATAAAAGAACAAACAAAGCCACAATAGTTTTAGCTAATGTATAAAATACAATCTATCATCTATTTTTAATTCGCTTTTATTAACTGGATCTTATTTATCTATGTATCGTCCAAGCGAAATTAACTATTTATACTTATTTAAAAACATCCTTCAAATTACGAGTCAAAAACAAATAAACAGTGCAATCTATCGGTAGTTACAACACAATCAATGCTTACTGTATTCGCGCACATAGGAAATCAGAACTGATATTAGTACAACTATTAGCAATGATCGTGGGATCCGACGGAGCCAAAAGCCTTTCTCTAAAGCAGTGATTCTCAACCACTGTTCCGCGGCACTTTTGTGTGCTGTCAAATTTCAAGTGTGCCGCCAAATTTTGCGAATATATAATAATGTTAATATTATTAAATTATATCATTTTAAAAGAAAAATATTTTAAACATGAATATATATTTAAATCCACAGAAAAAAATTTATAGTATATTTTAGATTATTTCGTATATTAAAGGTTTTTGATAAACTATTTATGCAGTGTGTTGTAGTAATTAAATAATTTTTATCTTTGTTTTTGTGTGCCGCCAAATTTTGAAATCGTTAAATATGTGCCGCAACAAAAAAAGGTTGAGAATCACTGCTCTAAAGCATGTACAGTCGTATGAAAGTAAGTGAATTTCTGTGTCGGCCTCATTGTAAAAATGCCAATTCGAAGGAACCCTCTCGTTTCAGTTTCATGAATAATGTATTAACATTGGAGATGGCTAATGGTAAACTATTGCCTTTTGTTTGTCTTATCATTTGACTCTTGTTTTGTTTGGGAACCATCCAGATGTTATCGAGACTTCCCGTTGTAAGCTACTGACTTCTAATGTTTGCTTTTGATTCGTTGTGTATTGAATAATGAGGTATGATTCTTACAAAAATACTGAGATTTGGTTACATGAGCATGAGAGAGTGATTGAACATTATTGTAGTACGTGCGAATAAAAAAAACGTGTTAGGAATATCTCGTAATGAATGTCCTGATGTATTAAATTCCTCTGAAAGAAAACTAAACCTTTTTCAAATATTTATTCCTTTAAAATCGAAGTTCCGGTATTAATAAAGAATCTAAATTCAATCTGTATTCCGGTATCCAGTAAGCGATAAAGCTTTGCAGAGACTATTCAATTGAGTTCCAATTTGCTTTTCTTTGAATGGCGTGGTCAATTCGTATGGAACGGTATAGTTGGCATATAGTAAGAGGTCAAAGTGGAAAATCCTTTCATGTACGTACGCACGCATTGAACCGAATATGCGTGCTCATTTGATTTAATATCGGTTGAATTAAAGCAATTCGAATTTTAACGTTTTTTTTTTACTTGCGTCCGTTGTTCGAGTATTCGCTCTTTTATTTGTTTAATGTGCTGCGTGCTGCCGGCTTTCGACCGTTTCAGGAACAACGTTTTATGACTAACGAGTTCGTGAAAAAATAATAAAGTTCCTACATTTACTTTATTGAAAGGGGAAACACGAAAAGTTTGGACCTCGTA